TATCTCTGCTAGTTAAGAAGCTATAAGCCAAAACGTAAAAAAGCATACCCTACCCATCCGCCAGCCTACATTGGGAAAAGTTTTTCGAAATCCAGCCTAGACCGGCCGTTGCTGACAGTCGTGGCATGGTTGTGCAACAGCCGTTCAACAGCCCTAACGGCCCTAATTTGCGCCTAACAGCCCCAATTTCGCGCCAACATTGCTAATAGCTAAAACGCTAAGTGCCTATATTTAATAAACTTAAAATAACGTTGCAACGTTGTTGCATAGCTACCCTTAGTAGTGCTAGCACTAGCATTAAATATTCAAAAATTGCAAAATTTCACATATAGATAGAGCGAAATTGTAGCTTTAAAATAAGCAAAAAATTATTATTGTAGGCCTACTACAATGCAAGTTATAAAGTGTTAAAGGTTTGTTTGTTAAAGGTTTGTGTTTTGAAGTTGCAACAGCACACCATAGCAGCTGCAGCTGCGCCCGCACACAACGTAGCAGCTGCAACAGCATACAGCATAGCACCTGCTGACCAACACACACACACACACACACACAGCAGCAGCGCAACAGGAGCTTGCAGAACAGGCAGGCCTAGGCGTAAAATTCTTGGTTTACCTACTATTCTTGAATAATATTCTTATATTTTCTAACATTCAGGCTGCTAGAGCCCTAGCAAAGAATCTTAACTTAGTGTCTTGGCAAGGAATATTAAGCTTAAAACCTTCTACACTTAATAAGTTAACTATTCTATTACTAGGCCTCTCCGTATGAACCGCTGCGCGTATGGCCCCGGAGGGGGCATCTGTGCGCGAACCCTGCCACCTGATTGGCTAGCTAGCCCTTGCCTCACGAAAACCCGCCAGGCCCAGGGCCATCTGCGCGGGGCCATCTGCGCGCGATCAAACCCTGCAACCCTGATTGGCTAGCTAGCCCTCGCCTCACGAAAACCCGCCAGGCCCAGGGCCATCTGCGCGGGGCCATCTGCGTGTGATCGAACCCTGCAACCCTGATTGGCTAGCTAGCCCTCGCCTCACGAAAACCCGCCAGGCCTAGGGCCATCTGCGCGGGGCCATCTGCGCGTAATCCACACAGCGCCTCACAGTTGCAACAGAGGGAGTGAAAGGAAGATAAAAAAAACCTGAGCAACGCCCCTGTACGTGTAGGGAGGGAAGAGGAGAAGAGGAGAAGAGTGCAGCCCCCCCCTTAACAATGTTTACCTACCTACCTCTGTACAGAGTGCTCGTCTGCCAGGAGCACTGCTACGCAGTCTACAACCTAGACGAGCACCTGAAGCGGCTCCACAAGCTACCATCAGCAGAGAGAAGGCGGCTGATCGCCTCGTACAGCGGGCTTGCCCTGAGCCCGCCAGAGCGCGTGCCTGCGCCGGAGCCGTACGGGCCGCCTGTGGCAGAGCTGGGTGCACCACAGAGCGCCTTCCTCTGCTGCCAAGCAGCGCAGCAGGGTGCTGATGACAATCATCCCGACACCACCACCACTACTACCACTACCACCACTAGCAGCAGCAGCAGCAGCAGCAGCAACCGTACAAGCTGTAGCTTCATCACCACCAGCTACACCTGGATTAAGAAGCACACTAATCAGCAGCACAGCACCCAGCTCTCTCGCTGGTCTACCCCTTCTGCAGCCTCGTACGAAGCGCACGCTG